AAGGGACTTTGCACTGCGGGCGTGAGGGCGGCCAAGCACCCGCAGCCCCAGCTGGTGCTGCAGCCCGTCCCGCCTGCAGCCCGTCCCGGGCAGCTCCAGCATCTTCTGTCCAACCTTTCTAGGCATGCTGCAGTTTATACGAGATGGCTCAGCACCCTGTCAAGCTGAGACTTAAAACTGTCCAATGTGGGGGAACCTGCCACTTCCCTGGGGAGACTGTTCCAGTGTTTGACTCTCCTCATGGTGAAAAATTTACCCTGTGTCTGGTTAGAATCTCCCCGGGATCAACTTGTGCCCATTACCCCTTGTCTTTTCCATGTGACTCTTCGTAAATAGGGAGTCTCCATCTTCTCGGTAGCCACCCTCTAAGTACTGGAACATGGTAATAAGGTCTCCCCAAAGCAGCCTTTTCTCAAGGCTGAACAACCCAGTTTTCTCAGCCTCTCCTCACATGGCAGGTCTTCCAGTCCTCTGATCATCCTTGTGGCCCCTCCCTGGGCCCCCTCAGCCTGTCCCCATCCTTTTTGTAGAGCAGGGACCAAAACTGAACACAATACTTTGTCCTGTTTTGTTTGGGTGTTTTTTTTCCCTCCCAGGTGTTTCTTGTTTGATTCTTAGGCTTCAGTTTTCTGAGGTACTCTCTTGGATTTCCTGCTTCAGTACATTGGAAGGTTTGCACAGCTTTGTTTGCAATGGCAGCTGGCACTGAAAAGCCAGCAAGCAACCGTTGTTATCATGAAAAATCCTGTCTCCGAAACACTCAGCTATTTTAAGAAGCCCTGAACAGGGAAACAGTGGTGCTATTTGCTCTTACGGAAGCACAATAAGTGCCCCCACTTAACTTGTGGTGTAGCACGTATTCTTAGGGCCAGGCACATGCCTTGTCATAAATGTGTTGTGTACAGAAGGAATTAGGGCTGTGCTCTAGAACCTCGTGCTGGAGGGTGCTTCTCTTCCAGATAGCTGTCTACTGAGGGAATTCAGTGTGGTCTTCTGTTTCAAGCACTCACCTGATCCATATTTTAAGATGTAGTTCATAAGGGTTCTCTCTGAAAGAGTTTTCCCTTGAGGCTAGAGCCCAATTAGTTTTTCTTCATTGATAGCATCAGTATATAAATTAATTGGATGCTATCAGCTCTCATGTTCTCAGGAGGTAGCATTAAGGAAGTCATAGGTAAAAATGTTGCATATTAAAAAAAATCCTTATTAATCAGTGAGATTTTGTAAATAGTTGGATTGCATATTAAAAAAAATCCTTATTAATCAGTAAATAGTTGTCTAGTGATATAGAAAATAGCATTAATGTTACTGTATTTCTAGTGGCAGCATTTCTTTTCCTTGTTAAAGGTTTTTAGTTTAGCCTTTGGCTAAGTTGTGGTTAGATTCAGCTGCAAATTACAGGTATCCCAGGAGAGCATCCTAGGGCTTCCTTCTTGTCACAGCCATGCTGTTTCTAGCTGTCTGCTGCTGGCCGCTGTCAGGATGTGTGACTAGATAAAACTTTGGTCTGATGTGGTGTGGCCATTCTTATGTCACTTTTTCCAGGCAACTAAAATACTGTGCATTTTTAAAATTCGTAAAAAGATGCATACTAATCAAGATCAGAAATTTTTATTGTTAACAAATGTGATGTAACATTGGAAGTCAATTTCGATAAAACACTTTCTGCTCTTCTTTTTCCCTTGCCTTTTCTGCAGATTTCAACAGATGGCTCTGCTGGGGATATTTTGATCTCTCCAACTGTATCCCAATTGGTTTTGATCCTTGGGGTCCATTGTAAAGATTCTTCTTAGTTATTGCTAAATTACTGTGTTGATCAGTGAAATAATTCGTCACTGCTAAAGTTGCTCTTCACTGACTCACCAGAAGTTGCACTGAGGGAATGTTTTTAGTAATGAGCCAAATGCTTGGGAAATCTTAAAGGGATTTTAGATAGCTTATCACCTTGGGAAGAGAGTTCAGGTGTACCAGTCTCCCATGTAATTTTTTCTATGTATTCATGGAAAAGCTGGCTTACTAAATTGTTTATTTTTCTTTAACAGCTGAAAGCTGACGTGGTTCCGAAGACAGCAGGTAAGGTAGCATCTCCAGAATGCCATATTTAAGGGTTTAGTTGTGATTTTTTGGAACAAGAATATTTTGTTATATTTTGGAAGTATTTCCATGTTCCATCTCTGTTTGTTAGATAGAGAAATATGGTATGAACTTTGTCAGATAGTGGTAGTGAGGAGTTATAATTTGTTGTTGTTCCAAATAGTTCTTTTTTTAAATTTGTGCCAAGACAGTACAGTCCATATGTTTGGTTATCATTAATGAATAAATGTTTACAATCCTATTAATTGTCATTAAAATCAAACCTCAAAGCAAATGAGAGAGTAAATCTTGTTTTCCTTGGCACCAGCTGATCAGTGCACTCATATTACAAAGTTCTTTTGTGTTTTAACTCATGTTTACTTCCTCATTTGTTTATTTAGTGGTTCTGAAAAACACATACTTTTCTTTCAGGACTCAGTAGATGAATATCCTTAAAAAAATAAGTATAATCTTCACCATTACTTTGGATGCGAAGATTTAATTTTGTCCTCTGTTCTCTAGAGTGCTGGGTTTGGAGAGGCAAGGGAACTGGATGTAACATACAACAGCAAAATAAAAGGGAGAAGAGATCAAAAAGGGTTGTATTTGTATCCTGTTCTGAGGCTAATAAACAATCTTTTTTTCCTTAGGTTTATAACAGAGGTTTTTAAAGCACAGAAACAACTAATAAATCAATAATACCTTAAAGATACTATACAATTTTTGAAGTATATAAACTTGGGACATACTTGATCCTGTTGTGTTTGATTATGTTGTGTGTTATGTATGACAACATGCTTTGTTTTCACAGAAAACTTTAGAGCTCTTTGTACTGGTGAAAAAGGATTTGGGTATAAAGGATCCACTTTTCATCGAGTGATTCCTTCGTTTATGTGCCAGGTAATGTGGGTTTTTACTTTTGCTATTATATTTATCTGTATGTTATTCATATATTTTTAGAACATGTTAGGCTAGTGGTAATATTCTAAGTGGCTGTGCTCTAACCTTTGCTAACTACAGAATAATGAAGTGACAGTGTGACTTGTATTTCTGATCTTTCAGCTATGGCTGTTGCTTAGCACATATTTTGTACAAATAAATGTAAATTATGGGTAAAGCGTCTTAAAAAACCTGCTGTAAGGCTTTCTGCTTTGGTATAGCAATGTACTTCAGTGTAAGATGGCACTTGCTTGGGAGAAGCATTTAATGGGTAGAATGACAGTCAACCTTTTGTTCTAAGGGAGCTAAGAAAACAGCATGTCCATTCTTTATTCCTAGTAGAATAATTTGTTGACAATAGAGAATGTGGTTTAAAAAAAAAAAAAAGTGTTGCTTTTTTTCTGAACATCACCCTAGTGTGGAGGGGAGAAGGGAACCAAAAGGGTAGGTTGGAGTAGTTTTTGGGGATGGCAGACCTGAAATGGATTTTGTTTTGATTAAAAGGATGAATCTTTCAAAATTCTCATTTACAGTCCATGCAAAGTTAGCAAAAACAGCAACAACAACAAAAACAAACAAAATGGCAAAAGCCTATTTGAAAGCCTTTTTTCTGCTGTGCTTGGCAGATGAGAAGGATTTCACCTGCTCTAGTGCACAGGTTGTGCAATTCCTGGTGGTCCTTCCCTTAAGTTCTTGCCCAGGTGTCTTCCCTTTAAAGAAGCTACATTTCAACGTAATTGCATCAAAGAATGGTTCCGTATAAATTTTGAGCTGAAGGATATAGTAAATGTTCTTTAGTTAATAACTGATGACTGTGATGGTCCCCCCTCCTCACTTTTCTTGGCTTTTACAGCTCAAAATACAGCTGTCTTAAGAAGAGGCCCTAGCCTTATGACCTGTTTATAAGAAGAGAAGGGACAAGTGTACTGTTAAGAGCCTATTTTCTTGCCTTTGAAATGCAGACTAAGGTTTTGTGATACTGACACAGGGACAAAGTTTAGAAGTCTTGCTGGGGTCAGAAGTACATAAATACATAGAAATTGAAATCCTATTCTCAGTACTACCCCTGATTTGTGAAGTTCTATTTAAATCTGTTCCCCTCGCCTCCCTGTTTTGTCCACACAAATGAACCTGAAATGAGGTTACTAGGTGGTTGACTCTGGAACAGTGAGATGATGAATGGATATTCAGGAATTACTTGGTAATTGTTACCAAAGTGGAAATACTGACAGAAGTTTCAAGTACTTTAAAGTGAGAGGAAACAAGTAGATGCCTTTCTACTTGTTAGGTGGAGTGTTAATATGACTCAGGCAATTGGCATAGCCTAATTAGGGGTCATCACACCCAGGACTTGGCAGTCATGTGCCTCCACATGGCATGCAGCATGCAGAGCATACTTCCAGGACTATGTAGGAGTAGCTGTGACACCACCTGTAATGGATTGCTCAAGGTGAGACTAGGAAGATGAGTATCAGATGAAATACTTGTTAGGTACGTGTTCTTTCCTGGGTGGTGCTGCTTCGGGACCTGCTTTGGTGATGCAGGTCACTGGAACCAGTTGCAGTGTTCAGTGGCCACCACCTTTGGAGTTGCTGCAGTGGCTTTTTGCTGCTCCATAGGTTCTGTGTGTCTGACCTAAGACAGGTGGTCACATCTGTCCCAGCAAACAGCACGGAGTGGAGGGAAGGTTAAAAATAGCTCAGGTGTAGCATTTAAGCAGCAGAATCTAGAAATAGCAAATAGTAATAGTGGAGATCCTGACCAGTATCACATCTGTTAGGAGAAAGAAGAAAGAGGTAGGGGGGGGGGAAAGAGGTTCTTAGATCTTGCCTATGGTAATGAATTTGGGTGATTTTGTTAGGAGGCCTTGGAGGTGTTTCTTAAAGTTACTGCTATTTGTTGCATCACATTTGGGAGCAAGGCTGGTAACACAGAAAGGTGGTTGTTTGGAGTTATGGATGTCAGCTGGAGAATATCAGCACTACCTGGAAAAGAAATCTACTTTCAGCTTGATTCTGTCTTCATCCCGGTTACATGGGTTTACATTCTTGTGTGACCATACTCATTCTTAACCTGAAGAAAATGTGCTGGTTTTATTACTTTTAAATTAGAACAAGTAAGTAGGTTTTCAGTAGCATCACTCATCATGCTTACGTGCTCGTAAAGCTAACAGCCTTTTCTATTCCAGGGTGGTGACTTTACAAATCATAATGGAACTGGTGGAAAATCCATTTATGGCAGTAGATTTCCAGATGAAAATTTCATACTTAAACATGTAGGACCAGGTAAATAAACATGTTCCTTCTACCTTCTGATGACTGTAACCTATAGTGAAGCATTGATTATTAAGATTTTTTTTTTAAAGTCATATTTTTTACGTGCTCTAACTATAAAAGGGACTGTGCAAAAAAAAAGTGTGAGGTTTTTGTATTTTACTTACAAATTCTACAAAGTGAAATTATTGCTGTTATTTTCCTCTTTCATAAATCATAGATTTGAATGTTTACTTAGATGATAACTGCAAAAGTGAAACAAAGAAGTCTGGGATTTCTTAATTACTAGGTAACACAGGCATGTCCTTTTAAGCTCAAATCAAGAAATATAAAGGAAAAACTATACATAAGAACATTTTATTGGATTCTGTAGTCTTTTGTATTGTTACTTCCTCATCACAGGAAGCTACTGCTGCTTAGAGCCACAGTAGAGGTTACCTGATGTTAATCACATCCAGGATGTGTGAAACTAATTCTCTTATAAAAACATTCTTGCTGTGGGAAGTAGGGAGGCTGGGCTGGAGGGGATAGTCCAAGACAAGAAATTGGCATTAGAAATAATTTGGAGACAATGTGAGACCATCACATCTTTTCTCTGTCCATCTTTAAATGTGCAGGGGAAAATTGTCTTCTCCACTGTATGCTTGTTACACCAATCTAATAAGCTGCTGCTGTTCTAGGTGTTCTTTCAATGGCCAATGCAGGACCCAATACAAACGGATCTCAGTTCTTCATTTGCACTGCAAAAACTGACTGGTAGGTTCTTGGACCTCCATATTAACCTGATGAATTGATGATTGGATCTGGAGAGTTTGGCATTTTCTTAGTTTTTTATGTTTGTTTGTGGGTTGATTATTTCCTGTGTGTTCTGGGGTTTTGTTTTTCTTTTTAATTTCCAAATTATTTGACTCAAAATGGAAAATAGTTTTGTGTTACTTGAGGAGGAGAGGATGAGAGTAACAAGGCTGTTATCCCTCATAACACTTCTCAAGTCCCGAATATTTCACATCCCCTGTAGAACAATTTTGCCTTTACCATAGTGCTGATGAGCACATGAGTACTATGAAGATCTGCTGCCATCCCTTCACTGAGCTTGGTTTGGTTCAGTCTTTATGTTGTTTTGAGTAAAACTGCCTTTGTTTACTTGTTTTGCAGGCTAGATGGAAAGCATGTTGTTTTTGGGCATGTAAAGGAAGGAATGGATGTCGTGAAAAAAATTGAGAGCTTTGGTTCCAAAAGTGGAAAGACCTCCAAAAAGATTGTCATTACTGACTGTGGCCAGCTGTCCTAGCCTTTTGCCCTACCGTTCAGGATGACTTCAAAGCTGTGAAAAGTGAATCATAAAAAACCCCAAACATTTCTGATCCCATGAGTAGCACCTATAGAACTATATTTTCTATTTAACTTGGTCCAACTTTTGTAGTTACATCAAATAATATTTATTAAAATAATAAAACAATAACTGAAGCATGTTTTAACTGAGCTGTGTTGGTAGTTACACTGTCACACTGATTTGGTGGAGTTCCATGGCATTTTGAAAGCAGTATGGTCACCCAGAGCACATCTGCAGCATTGATGCCATTCTTAAGTCTTGCATATTTCAGATGTTTGGATTTGACAGCTGAATAGTTGAAGGTTAGATATAAATTGAGAAACACATTGTTTCATTTGGTGCTAATAAATGCCTGTTCAGTTGTTTGTCTTGTTTTGAAAATTGCTCACTAGCATGCTCAAGGCTGTCTGCAGCACAGCTGGCAGACACTGTGTCTCAGTGTAAGTCCATCCAACAGAATTTGTGTGGTCATGTGTTTTTTTAAAATTAATTTTGTTTTAATTTTTTTGGTAGTCTCAGACCACTGTTTAAAACTTAACTCTACCTTATCTTGCTTCAGTGGAGCAACATGACTTTCGGGTTAAATAAATTGCTTTAGGTTGAGTTAGCCTACTGCTAGGGCTCCACCTGGGCAGTAAGACCACGAATGAGCCAAAAGATTTGTTATGCAACTGTGAACTCACTTGTAGTGCCATTCTGCCCTGAGATCTGGTTCTGTGAGGAATACAGCACAGTTCTCAGCAGATAGCCTATTTTTGCACTTGGAGAAAGCAGAGTACAATGAGCTTGCTTGACTGAGAAACAGATTTCATTGCTTTTTTGTCCTGTGAAGTCAGCCCACTTTGGGCATTTCTTGGATTATTGCTTCTCATGCATCATCATCACAAGTCAAAATTGGTCACCACAAAATCACAAGGCCTAATTGGTGCAGTAAAGTAATTATGAGGTTGGTGCATGACAAAGATTTCAGCCAATCAGATAAACACATTTCATTTGTATAAATTGGAGTGTTTTATGTGGAGTGCTTGAACAGTAACAAATGTTGGAACCTCACAATGTCACTTTTAGAATCACTGAAGCTGTCAAGTATTAGTGTTTGTGGGAAAAAGCACTTGACGGGTTTTGTGCTATAATCTTGTTATTGAAGAGAAAATGTGATGGCTCTCTTGAAATGTGAATTTTAATTCCATTACATTCTGATAATATTTTAATTCAAGTACTTTACACTGGACTTTTTCCCACTAAGGGCTATATTCTTGTGTGTACAAGGTAGTATTCAGAGTGTAATTTTGCAGAAACAGAATTGAAAGGCCTTTTATTCTTTCCACTATAGCTCTTTCATCTTTCTTTGTAGTATTTTTTAAATATTAATTTGTGCTGGTTTGACTTTTTTCAGTTTGATAGAATAACGATTTTTTTGTGTGTGTTCTCTTAATTTGTATATGAAAAATAATTAAATGCAGTTCTCCCACCATGGAAGTCTGGTCCTTTTTTGCACTCTTAATTGAAAGCAGGCATGTGAGGAGCTGAAACCTGTTGTCTTTACTTATGCTCTTCTACCTTGTGACGGGTCTGATGAAGGGGTATTCAGGAGCCACACTGTTGCTCAGAGATGCAGCCAGCATGAGACAGGGTAATGTTGCCTTGCTTTGCCTCGTGCTGGTGACTCAAACATCAGGTGTGTCAATAGCAGTTCAGGTTTTGAGACTGTTCTCTTGTCTGATTTATTCTGTTAGTTTGCAGAGTCAAGTGTAAATTTACAGGGTGTGTTTTTAAAAATGTCTTAATTCCTTTTTGGAAAGTTGGGAGTTTCAGCTTTCTGCTGGACAGATGTGGAAAAGCTTTTTACTTGCTGTGTGATTAGTTGTGACCTTAAGAATTTAGCATTGTCCTGTATATCAGTGGGGGATAGACTGGGCAATCCAGTGGAAGATGTTTTGCCACAGAACACTGTTTACTGAGAACTGTATGTTAAGCCTTAAATAATTAATAGTAGTATGCATGTTATAATTACGTATTACACATGGGTGTGGCTTTTACAGGCACTTTTATACCCCAACTTCTGAAATGTAAAAGCCAAAATTTTCCATCAAGGCTTGCAGTCTTGACTAGAAGATAAATATTGATTAGTATTAGTTGCAGTGTCTCTTTGGCTCCCAGATACCAGTCCTCTGGTTTTCCAGACAAAAGTCTGCTTCTCAGGTACTTAGAGCAGTATAACATGAGTCAGTGTTGACAAACTAAACTTAAACTAAATCTCTTCAAGTTTTCTTCTGTCAAGCACTGTCTTCAAAAGTGGATTTTTCTGGGGTTCGGTTCTTCATCTTGTTTTTATCTTCCCCCCTGCTCCCTTAATTTAAAAAGGCAGCATTAAGTCTTGCACCCTGCAGCACTACAGGAATGTTCCTATACTGAAAACATGTGGCTGCAGCTTGTAGGAAGTACACCCGAGGCAATCTGAAGAGCTGGTTATGACACCACAGCAAGGGTTGCAGGAGGTTGGCATGCAGGATGTCTGGCCCTAGCCCTCTGTGGTCCTGTGGCTGCCAATCTTGGGTAGCTTGTACTCTTCTGTGTACAACCCAAAGACAGGGTTGCAGTCTGTGGGTAAGTACACAGAAATCAGCCTTTGTTACTAGTTCTTTGCCAGGATGTAATTTTCTGCAAGATTTCAAGTGCCCATCTCCCTCAGCCCTTGTAAGTCACAAACAGTAAGAGAGTTCTCCTTTTGCAGCCTTTCTGATGATTTTTGTCAGCTTCAAGATGAGAGGCCTGCACAGGAAGTCAGGCATTGCCACCACTCCTTTGGGACTTCCTTACTCTGGGATTTTGTACCTCTTCATAGCAAAATGATTACATAAAATCAGCCTTCTGCATTGTGTACAGAAATGGCATTTGACTTCTAAAGTTAACCCATTCAACTGCGGGCTAAGAAACTGCCCAAAAATATTTTTTAAATAGATTTAGATGTCAAATCCCAGTAGGTTAGTTGGATATGCTTTTCTTCAGCCACTAAAAAGCATTGATTTTGAAGCAATTCAAGACATGGTTCATATTAAAGCAGCTGAGTATCCCAGAATAACTAATGTTATTCATGTATGTATTAACAATGTAAACAGTCGCTGCCATACAAGTTGAAGTGCAGTGTGTTCCTTCCCCTGCCTGGTGATTTGCTGTGGGGTTCTGCCTCTGGCAGAGGAGCTGTGGGGCAGAGCTGGCACCTGGCCGAGGTGAGGTGCCCCGAAGTGCTGAAGAGCCCCTGCCCTGGGTGGAGCAGAGGGTTAGATCCGTCTTTGCTTTTCTGCTGTACGAAATTTACCTCCTCACCAAATGATGTGGAAATTAGTATTTCACACGCGCACCCCGGTGTGCTGGCGCCACTTTGGTCCCAGGTGACAAGGGGGGGCTGGGTGCTGTCACAGCAGTCCACGCAGTGTATGAACTGCTGCCTGCAGCTGCCCCTGGCTGGTCCCGGGTGCTCATCATCTTCTCCCCGCGTCTGGCTGTGTCTCCGTCCTGAGGAGCTCCCGTGGGCCGGGCGCTGCTGACTCTGGGATTTTGTACCTCTTCATAGCAAAATGATTACATAAAATCAGCCTTCTGCATTGTGTACAGAAATGGCATTTGACTTCTAAAGTTAACCCATTCAACTGCGGGCTAAGAAACTGCCCAAAAATATTTTTTAAATAGATTTAGATGTCAAATCCCAGTAGGCTAGTTGGATATGCTTTTCTTCAGCCACTAAAAAGCATTGATTTTGAAGCAATTCAAGACATGGTTCATATTAAAGCAGCTGAGTATCCCAGAATAACTAATGTTATTCATGTATGTATTAACAATGTAAACAGTCGCTGCCATACAAGTTGAAGTGCAGTGTGTTCCTTCCCCTGCCTGGTGATTTGCTGTGGGGTTCTGCCTCTGGCAGAGGAGCTGTGGGGCAGAGCTGGCACCTGGCCGAGGTGAGGTGCCCCGAAGTGCTGAAGAGCCCCTGCCCTGGGTGGAGCAGAGGGTTAGATCCGTCTTTGCTTTTCTGCTGTACGAAATTTACCTCCTCACCAAATGATGTGGAAATTAGTATTTCACACGCGCACCCCCCGGTGTGCTGGCGCCACTTTGGTCCCAGGTGACAAGGGGGGGCTGGGTGCTGTCACAGCAGTCCACGCAGTGTATGAACTGCTGCCTGCAGCTGCCCCTGGCTGGTCCCGGGTGCTCATCATCTTCTCCCCGCGTCTGGCTGTGTCTCCGTCCTGAGGAGCTCCCGTGGGCCGGGCGCTGCTGCGGCCCCGCCGTGTCCCGCTGCCCACGAGGTGGCACCAGGCGACCGCCCCGTGCGCGTTGGCGCCGCCGCGACGGCTTCGCCGGCGCCTTTTCCTTCCTCGCGGCAGTGACCGAGCTGGAGGTCACCAAGCAGCGCCAAACCCAAGTGAGAAGCAGGTCGGGTTACAGTGGTGTTGGTAACAGGTGGTCCTGTAGCTTCCTTTCAGCCCCACTGAAATGAGATGAGCTGCGTTTAGTGATTCCTGAGGTATCACAGGCTGCAAGTTGTGCATCTCGGTGCGTATAAAGCCTGTGATCCCTTGAGGGGCTGCTTCAGCTCCTGAGGGATGCTGGATGAGAAGACAAATTAGTTAAGTAACACCTTTCCCAACAACGATGGCACGTTGCTGGGATCTGTGGCTTACTGAGCTGTGATGGAATGTGTTTAAATGAAGTATATTGTCTGGAACTCTTTGGGGGAACTACTGACTAGAAATACCACCTAACTCTAGGTCACAAGAGAGAAAGCACTGTGGAGCTGTGGTTTTGAGTTGAGCTTGAGGGATGGTGGCTCTGCTACTGCCAGTTGTCTCCTGGATGTTTAGGATAGAAGTTTGCACACTGGCACGGAGGTTGTCGCTGCACATGGCACATCCTGGATGCTTCTGGGGTGAGGCATGGGCACACCAGGAGAAGAGCCTGCAGGGTGAGCTCTGTGGTGGTGACCACTGCTGTGCTTCCACATGCAACACGAGTAAGAAAGGACGTGCTCAGGGGGCACCCTTGGGTAAAGTGCAAAGAAATACACACAGAAAAAAATGAGTTTATATTTCAAAGTTGTTTCAACAAACTCACAAATGTTTTTGTTTAGTCTCTTGTTTTAATTATTTGTTCCAGACTTTCTGCTTACATAAATGGCTTTCTTTG